GCCGCCACCATCGCAGCCCCCGACGCCGCTTTTGCCCTCACCCTCACCCTCACCCTCACCCTCACCCTCGTCCTCACCCTCGCCCTCATCCTCACCCCCGCCCTCGCCGCCTCCCTCGCCGCCTCCCCCGTCGCAGCCCCTCTCCGCCGCCCCCTCCCGCCCCCCCCCTCCCACCTCCAGGCGCTGCTGAAGGGCGAGACCGACGGGTCCTCGTACCCCTCGGGGGGCATGCGGGCGACGCACACGGCGGGCGGGTACACCGTCATCGACCCCACCTCCCCCATCTTCCTCCGCGGCGACACCGTCTTTGTCCCCACGATCTTCGTCTCCTTCTACGGCGACGCGCTCGACGAGAAGACGCCGCTCATGCGCGCGCAGAAGGCCGTCTCGACCCAGGCCACGCGCCTCCTCAAGCTATCTCCCCATATCTCCCACAATCTCCCACAATCTCCCCGTCTCGACCCAGGCCACGCGCCTCCTCAAGCTGCTCGGCTACGGGGTCGACAAGGTTGGCCCAAACATCGGGCTCGAGCAGGAGTTCTTAATTAACTCTTGATTAACTCTTAATTAACTCTTAATTAAGGTTGGCCCAAACATCGGGCTCGAGCAGGAGTTCTTCCTCGTGCCGCGCAAGGACCACTGCCCTAGATCTCCCACAATCTCCCACAGTCTCCCACAATCTCCCACAATCTCCTCGTCCCGCGCAAGGACCACTGCCCTAGATCTCCCACAATCTCCCACAGTCTCCCACAATCTCCCACAATCTCCTCGTCCCGCGCAAGGACCACTGCCCTAGATCTCCCACAATCTCCCACAGTCTCCCACAATCTCCCACAATCTCCTCGTCCCGCGCAAGGACCACTGCCCTAGATCTCCCACAATCTCTCCCACAATCTTCCACAATCTCCCACAATCTCCCACAATCTCTCCTCGTCCCGCGCAAGGACCACTGCCCTAGAAGCGGAATACGCATTCTTGTACTCCACCCAGGTCTCGAGAGGACACGTATTCCGCTGTACTCACCCGTGTTCCGCTGCACTCACTGTGCTGCTATTCGTTGTATTCACGCCGTGCTCTGAATACGCCGCACAATACCGTCCTCCCGCCCTGAGGTTGGCGTATTCTGCTTCTAGGACTACTACCGCCGCCCCGATCTTCAGCTGACCGGGCGCACGATCATGGGCAAGAACGCGCCGCGCGGCCAGGAGATGTGTGACCACTACATGGCCGCCATCAACCCGGTGGCGCTGGAGTGCATGCAGGAGATCGGGCACGAGTGCGTCCTGCTCGGCATCCCATATCTCCCCACATCTCCCCATATCTCCCCGTGCAGGAGATCCAACACGAGTGCTTCATGCTCGGCATCCCGCTCCGCACGCGCCACCGCGAGGCGTCTCTCTCTCTCTCTCTCGCTCTCTCTCTCTCTCTCTCTCTCTCTCTCTCTCTCTCTCTCGCTCTCTCTCGCTCTCTCTCTCTCT